CTGGTTATGCTTTAACACGTTCCTTCCAAGTGATTTGGTTTTCTTCTGATATCACTGCTACTTTGACATAGTTGCTGCGAGCTTTGACACGAATGGAAGAAAGAAAAATGCCAGTTCTCGTCCTTGCAAATTCATTCAACAGTTCGAAATGAAGATCTATGATGATGGTGATATTTGTAAAATGTAATTTTTCCAGTGTTTATGCTCTACTTTCCATCCAGCCAGAGCGTGTAAATTGTACATTAAAAGTGTGGAAGGAATCACTCTAATCTATCTTTGAGTAGTTTTTAGCAAGGGGAAATATTAGATTTGCACTCTCATCGTTGCTTTTATTTTATTGTATGTATAGTCTTGCAAATGAAAATTATATAATTAAAATGACAGTGAGAGCGTGAATAATAAAATATTATTGCAAATAACACTTCTCATTAGTAATAAGTAATAACTAATAAAGGTGCTTATTAAACACTAAGTCGATCCCGGTGGAAATAGGAAAATTCTCTGCCTGATGATTGGGCCCCTGTTATCACGTCCAGAAAGAACTGAGAATGAAACTTATAGAGACAACAGAAATGCACGTTACAACGGTCGGCTGGGTGTATACTGTTTAGTGGGACATCCCATTCCCAGTCCGCCTGCCTTCTTCGTCGTACAGTAAATTCCCCGCAATTAGGCCAAGGCGAAGGCAGAAAAGCTCCATCTTCAGCTACTAGAGAAATCAGAACGCGCACACGCTCTTCCTATCTCCCTTTCTATTGTTTTCATTTTAGAGGTTTTCTCATGCAATCCAGTTTATGTGCAACTTCTATCAACTCTACTCATTGCCACCATTCGTGGGCTTCTTCTCCCAATGCCAAAATTTCCTTAATCGAACTGGCCAAAACGGTTAAACCCTTAAGAGTTGTAAGCTCCCTGAAATCCTCGTTCAACTTTCACAAAGACTTTGACTTTAAAAAAGAATACCACCAAAACCACAAAAATCAACAAGAACAAGAACAACCCACAAATTCTTATCAACTTCCCATTGTTATTCGAAGTTCCGGCAGTGCTTCAAGGTACTTCTGGGATGGTAACGGACTGAAATTGGTACCTATTCATGACAATTCTTTTTCTTTATGGGACTTTTGTCTTGATTTTGATGATGCGGTTCGGAGGCTGGTTAGAATCTGCAATTCTGCTTTGAGAAACTTCTTCCTCCCAAGGGAAGTGAGTGGAAATTATCTGGAATATGTTAAATGGAAGTTGTTGCACAGAGTTTTCAGCTCAGCTCTTCAGGTTCTTGCTACCCAGGTAATGTTTTTCAGAGTATTTTCATCAGCTTAATTTGGTCGGTCCGTGGACCAGACTTGCATGGTTTCTTGTTGCAGCATCCTGGATTAAACGTTAAAAAGCTACTTAATTTGCGTTGCAAATGTAAAGGAAGCTAATAGGCCAAACTTCAAGGCGTGTGTAGGCAATGTTCAGGGCAATTGGAATAGGCTACAAAAGGTCGCTTCCCTCGGCCGCTGCTTTGAATTGGGTGTTGAAGGATGGGCTTGGACGGCTTAGCAGGTGTATCTACACTGCTAGCCTAGCATCTGCTTTTGATACCAACCTTAAGGTATAGACTTTATTTAAGAAGAATATTGGTGCAGCATTTTGCGTATTTAGGAATGTGAGGTGAAGTTTATGCTATCGTTTTCACTTTTCTCTTCCCAAATGAAGAGAGTCAGGTTCTCAACGTCTGTTCTCTTCAGTTTGAGCATTGGAGTTGAGCTGCTGACTCCGCTTTTTCCCAGTTACTTCTTGCTGCTTGCTTCGGTTGCCAATATTGCAAAGCAAATAAGCCTAGCATGCTACTTGGCCACTGGTGTAAGTTTCTGTATGACGTTAGCTTACTAGTTTTTCATGTTTTCGGCTTTTGTGCAACTACTTATTCTTCATTGAATTAATTCCTTTTCCTCGTGATAAGACTTCAAATTTGCAAAATATAATATCTGGCATGTAATTAACACCACAATAATGGTGCATTTCATTGTCATGAGCCAATTGAAACTACAAGTTGCCATAGAGCTTCATCTCTCTCACGTCTTCAGGCTGGATAAAGGGGATCTAGGTGACACATGGTTTTCTAATATATGATTATTTCACTTGCGTTTCGTGTAGTTTTCCCCTATAGCATACTTCACAAGTTAATTTTTTTAAAGTCACAGATTGGAATACCATGTGCTTTTCTTATATTTATTTTTAGAATATATTTGATACCATATCTTCACTATTGCCCCATTGTTACCAGACAGCTGTGCATAGAAGCTTTGCAGTTGCCGATAACCTTGGTGAAGTTTCTGCGAAGGCACAGGTTAACTATAAGTTTTGCAGCTTGATAGTTGTTTATTCTTCAAGGTTTTTTATGTCATGACATCTGATTTTTTATTGGATTGCAGATTCAAACAGTTTGTTTTGATAACCTTGGTCTTGTGCTAGCAGTGCTCTTAAATATCATGCTTAGAAATAACCAAAGGTTTGAACTCTCATTTTTGCTGTTATTATTAGATTATATCTGTGCACGATCCTCAAAGCAGGGGTTACAATCATTTCATGTACTCGACAGACTAATTTGCTGTAAGAGTTGGTGAGATGTGTGTACTTGAGATTAGACCCTTTTAACTGCATATCAGGTTCTGATAGAAATGAAAATGTATGAAAATAAAGATCAGTACTTTGGTAGATTGTGGCTTTTCCTTTATGATGCTTAGTTATATTGTAATTAATAGTTGAAGATGTGTACTGAAGTGATTTGAGACTTGCTATATGCCTTTCTTTGCAATTATGTGAAAGATTGCAGGCAGCTCTACCATTTGTGGTATACCCAATCTTCTCGGCAATTGATCTTTTTGGAATTTATCAAGGGCTGAAGCATGTGCATCTGCAAACACTGACCAAGGTTGGTATTTTTCCTGCTTCCAGTGTGTCCAGCTCCTCAGTTTCGCATTAAATTTTTTGAAAATCAAGCCTACAGGTAATTATATGTGTCTATTTACGCTCCTCTTGCTTCAAATTCGACCAATTAAACAATATATATCTTTTTCCTTTCTTTTCCATTGACAATTGTAGTTTTCAAGCCAGCACTCACAAAAATGGTCCTTACCTAGTACTGATATAGCCTAGCCTGCTATCTAAATGCAAGAATCATTCCCACTAAATCCAACTTAGGAAGTGTTATTGGGGTCATTTTGCAAAACTAGTTTGATTCGCACTTGATGCTGAAAGTTTGCTGATTGCCTATTTATTTGAATCTGATTCCGTTCTAAAGCTACTTTTTGCTGCCTATATTTCCTGTCCTATTGACCAATTAAAGATATGATGAGATCTCCTCTTGTATACTTGTTTGAAATGCAGATTCATCTTTTCATTATAGACTCTATTCCCTCTGTTCTCATACCTTTTTAACGAGGAAGAAGATTCGGAGTCTATTTAATTGTGGTGTTGAATGAGTTTCTTATTTTCTAATTTACTCGTCCAGGATAGGCTTGAGATTATTATTAATGCATGGATTCATCAAAAATACATTCCATCACCTGCTGACATAAGTAGAGAGGAAGGTATCAATTGCTCGTGGAGAAAAGGTGAGGCCCCCAGTTTGCATTTTTCCATATTGAAGCTTCAATGTCATGAATTCTTAGTTAGTTTTTCATTAGGCAGGGAACTTTGGCCAATTAGAATTGGTTGCTTAAATGTGAGAGGTCAACTACCTCACCTAGCAATGCTGACAATGCAAGCTTTGAAGGACGAGGATTTCTATTTCATATGCATGGAGAGATTCAGCAAAGGATTGTCGAGAATTGGTCGAGTATGCCCCAGTGTGAAACCATAATTGGGATTTTTTGTGTTTAATGACTTCTGCTTTTTCCTGACTCTCTGTTGTACTTTATTGTTGGAAAAAAATTTACAGCATGGGATTGTTCTTTCTATACGGGAAGGAGCTTGCTATTCAGATGTTATGACAGGTTTACTGCAGGTAAGCAGAAATCTCGCTCTCCATAATATTTCTTGTAATGTGGCTAGAATGGTTCCTTCCGCTGGCTCGACTTGTGCTTCTTCCTTAAAATTTCTGTGTTTTACTTAAATTTAGAATTTGAGGATATGACTACTGGATAAAGTTAAAGAAATCTTCTTCTATGTGTAGGCATGTTACATCCGCAAACATCTTGTAAGTAGCAGGAACAGTGTTGAATCTTCTGAGTGCCCCTATCCACATTCTCAAGAATGGTTCGAATTGATCGACGACAGCAAGAAGTTAGCGAAATTGAACGTGAACATTTTGAATGAAGAGATGTTGGCTGTGGGGTGGGCTTGTAAGAACATTCTATTGACTGCGCAGGAGCAAGCTCGATATAGTTTTGTGGCTGACTGAAGACATTAAGCATCCACAGAAACCCATTCTCCGGGTTCAAATTGTTTTTCAGAAAGCCAAGGTAGGGGGGCAGGATGGTGACAAGGGAGAAGTCCAACTCGAAACAGAATCAGAAGATAAAAAAAGCCACAAGGACAACCAATTTACCAGAAGAGAAGAAAAGCATTTAATCCTGTAACCGGAAGAAAAAGAAGTCAGTTTAATTTCCATGCTAGAGGACGGCTTCGTGTGGCAATATTCTTTTGGACAGATAGGAACTTAAAAGCAGAATTTGTGGTTGTTGAGGGCAGTTTAGAGGCAAAAGCGGAATTAAAAGGTCCACTTTCAGAGGGCGAACTTTAGCATCCCGTCACTTTGTCAACCTCGTGTAGATTTTTGCCAGGTTGTGGCATGCTTCAATTTCAGAAAAGTTACTGCTATCATTCCATTGATATGTGAATGAGACGAAACTGGGTAATTTAGGTAAACCGTGTAATGGTAAAGCCTCCACCCCAGCACATAATTTCCAGGAGGAGCAAAAAGGATAACAGAAAGAGAAGAACACCACAGCAGCTTTTAAGCAAACTAATCATCAAAAAGAAAAGACAAAAGCCATGCTAAGTTCAGGAGCCAGAAATGTTGCAATCTGATACCAGAACAATACTCGGTCTTTCATTCAATAATCCTACAAACTATTACCAAAAGGCATATCAGATGATGCCATGCATGCGAGCAAAACTAAAGTACTTCAAAAAAAAAAATGCCAAGAGCAAACTAACATCATACAAAAGACTTCGCAAGTCAACCACTAAAGCTCCGTATAAACATGGCAGGATCGGGATGCGGTGGACATAACTTTGCTGAACGTTCTTCAACATCTTCTGTATACAGTAACGTTGAAGATTTTAGCTCCCATGACCAGTTCGAAGACACAAACATCACCAGTTACTAAGTTGTTTTCGACCACGAACTCCTTCCAACCACGATAAATTTTGGCATTCCGCGAATGAAAGGTACACCTCGCAGACCATTTCTTTTTCCCCTCCGAGAGACGAAGCTCCCAATCCAAGTGAGACTGTGTAGTAGTAAGGTAGTCCCTGACGAAGGTCAATGGGATATTCTGCAAAGAGAAAAAAAAAATGATCTGTTACGCATCGTCCGAGAAGAAAATCAACCAGGAATAGTAACATAAATAAGTTGAAAAGGTGAATACTAGTAGTACTATATGATTAGCTTACCACCGTGAATGAACCGGAAACATAACTTGGCTGCATGAAAACAATAAAGAATGGGCACTTCGATTTGAAAGCTTTTGCTCTTTGATAAGCTATAGAAGTACTTTTCTTTAACGCAGAGCGGCCTCTGGCTGTAAAAAATTGAAAGATTTATACACCCGAATCAGAAAAATGTACTGTGTTAATTAACAAAAAAAAAAAGTATTTAATTGATCGAGGGAAAAACTTCTAGCTACTGACCTTTTATCCTCCCTCCGAATTGAAGACCATGCACAAATCCATCATCCCTTCCAATCTGATGGGTGTTTTCTGACTTTCTTCCCCGCTTTTTACCCTTGCATGGTGCAGAAATCTCCTCCACAATTTCAATAGATTCATCATCATCATCATCATCCGAATAAATCTCTTCCGGCTTCCGCACCAGGCTTGTCCTCCTTGGCAGCTGGCCCTGACGATCATGCATACCGTGGTGGCCGGATTCCATTGGATACTCTATTTCCGAAGCTGCTGTATTAAAAATTACGACATGGAACCGGGAACTTCCATCATATCGGAAAACCAAGAAATGGAATCTTTCAATGGAATAGTATTCTGCAAATTCCTGCCAGCCTTTATGTAGCCAAGTTCCCTCGTCACTGTGAAGCAATTCTACAGGCCATGAAGCTCCAGTTGGAACCTTCAACCACACCATTTTCTTCAAATTATCCCCATATCTCCTCATAAACGCTGTTGGAATTTTCTGTGAGGATTAGCAAGAAGAAGAAGCTAGCATTAGAATTCAACAGTAACATACATGCAGGTGACTAGAATGAAAAACCATAATGTTACTGATAGTAGTACTTACCATGCCTCTGTTGATGGGGAAAAAGACAACTTTGAAAAAGTGCGGTGCATCGCTGATTACAAGATTGCGGCGTCTGGAATGGGTGGTGTTAGCCATCCCGCTGCTTCCTTGACAGTAAAGGAGCAATGTGATAGCAGAAGGTAGAAAGAAATGAAAGGGCTTGGTAATTGCTACTCCTAAGAGCTCTTTCTTCTCACACAACAAAGGTGAATTGTGGGCTGACGGAGAAATCTAAGAGCAAGCATCGTACTACAATGCCAAATTGCCAAGGCGTAATATAATGCTAATAGTTGAACACTTTTCTGATTCCTCGGGGAAAGGAAACTCAGTGGGAAATGAACTGAAATGGCAATACGTATTGATTAGTCAAATTAATGATGGGATTGATTTGTCTGTGCTAATAGACATACCGCCATGTGTTTACTATATGCCCCGGTTCTGTTCTATCGACTTTTACAAAATCAGAATCACGGAAATTGCTTTATACTTACTGAACAGGGATTTAAACAATCTTACAAAATGTGAATTAGATCATGTTTCTTCGTGCACTTACCTTATTTTCCTGGATTAATTAACAGTTATTCATAACCCAAAACTTCTTTTTCCGTAAATTAAAAATAAGAAAAAGAACACTAGTCAATACTGTTTTTAGTCTTATGACAGAGTACATAGTAAGGATAACAACTCCAATGGGAACATAGATTTTTTGTTTCTCAGGAAGGGTAAGTTACATTTTGCCTGCTGGAATAGCCAATGCAGGACCAAGTACACTCAGAAATCCAACAAGGGGGGAAAAAAAGGAACCTTGACGAAACAAAAAGCTGAAATAAAGATAACTTGATCAATGAATATGAATACAATATGAATAAGTAGAAAGAGTGCCCTACCAAAAAAAAAAAAACAAAGTAAAGTTAATTATCAGAATGATTAAATCAGTAACATTATAGGATGGCTGCATCAAACGAATGAAGAAGGGATTCTTGGATGTGAAAGGTTTTGCTCTTTGTTAAGCAATAAAATTGTCTTTTAGCGATCATTATTTTGTCACTGGCGTTGGAAAGATGCTTCTGCTGACAAATAAAATTAACATCAATATTGTGAATCAAACTCATTTTTGGTACTTATATATATTATTCGAAAATTACAACTAAAGGAACTGATAAGAGAAATTTCTTTACTTTATAAAAACTTAAATACTCTCCTTTTTTGCGCGAATAGAACGCCTGTTCCCATCAACTTGAGCTGATTTTCTTCGGTTATGGGCATGAGATGATGATGCAGCGGCCGGAATCTCCTCCAAGATTTCAATAGAATCATCATCAGATTCAATTTCATCAAATATCTGCACTGGGTTCGTCCTCCTCCTAGGCAGCTGGTCCAAATCATTATCATGGACACCCTTCCCGGCTTCGACGGGATATTCAATTTCTGAAGCAGTTGGATCGAATATTATGACATAGAACTGGGAGTTCCCTTCGTATCTGAACACCAAGAAATAACTTCTGTCAATTGTATAGTATTCAGCAAATTCCCGCCACCCTTTCCGCAGCCAGGTTCCAACATCGGTCTGGAGCAATGCTACTGGCCATGAAGCTCCCGTCGGAACCTTTAACCACACCACTTTCTTCAAACTCTCTCCGTGTTCTCTCATAAACGCGGTCGGAATTCTCTGAATGTTTATATAATTAGGAAACAGAAAAATCACCATGTACAGAGCTTACAGTAGCGGAAGAGCATGACATGCTAATAACAGAGCTCAGTAGTATTACTAATTTAGATTATTACTGCTACTTACTATGCCTTGGCCGACAGAAGAAAGCACAACTTTGAAGAAGTGTGGTGGGTTCTTGGCCGGATTATTGGTTGTCTGGTGTGATCCCTTTTTTCCTCTTTGACCGGTGGCCATGGATGGCTTCTGATTACTTGGTGGAGGAAGGGGCAAAGGGGGATGGAGTTGGAAGATGGATGGGAGGGAGATTAGCTGAGGAAGTAATCAAAGAGCAAGTAATGTAGTTATTGTTCTTGAAGTGCAACTCCTCGCATCTCGAGCAGAGGAACTGACCAGCCAACGAATTTGAATGGAAGCTAAATACAGCATCAGGGTGCAACTAATAAGTAACTAGTTTTGTAACTATTGGTTGAACGGAATGTTCGAAAAAAAATAAATTATTTAGTTAATTTTATAAAAATATCGATATGAAATACAAACTTAATGTCTATTTTATTATAATTTTTCTTAAGTATATTACTATATGTGCATTATAATATAAAGTATTCTTATAATATAAATTTGAATATCTAATAATTTACTTCGATAATTAGTTACTTTTCTACTTCTTGTAGTGATAATAATCCTTATTTACTTCGATTTCCTATACAGTACACAAATTATTAGCATGAATTTGGAGATATATCCAATAGAGATATTTATGTCTCTTTTATTTATATCGCATTACTTTCCAGTTCCTTTTTTGGGTAGGAAATAATAATCATATAATATTAAAAATTTTTATAAGAAATAAGAATTGATATATATCTAAAAAAAAACGGAGCAAGCCACGTAGGAAACTACTTGCAGTCTACTTAAGCCACATAGAAAAGAGAAAATATGAAAAAATAAGAATGAGAATACGACTTTATTATATATATATATATATATATATATATATATATATATATATGATTAGTAAAAACTAGAAATAGTTGGCTAACGAGAGATTTTTAAAACTTTGGCTTCTTCGATGTAGGTAAAAAGATTAAACCCTCTTGTCTATATTTTAAAAAATTCAGATTTTTTTAAAAATATGAGTGTTACTAGGCCGGTGGGGTTCAGTCTCCTCTAAAATGCTCCTCCAAAATACCCTTAAACCTTTTCAGAATCCCCTCCTTTCAATATAGAATAGTGTAAATTTATTGCAATCAATAATATAAAAAATATATATACATATGTATATATATATATATATATATGTAAGTAATTAGTAAAGGCACAAGGTAAACAGTCGTACACTGGAAAAGCATTTACTATCATTTTATAGTATAGTACGAGTTAAGTGTAATTACATTCATGACTTTCTTTCTTTTTTTTTAACTCCCTTAGTTCAAGAATCAAAATTGAATTGAATTGTCATATAATAGCTTTACGGGACTTTAGCCATACGCTGTGCCATTTATTAATTCAAGAAAAAAAAAATAAAAGGTTGGAGATTCACGTGTAACAATTGCATGAGTAGCCAATTCCATTGCCAGTGTACCACATGCATCCAACACAAAAAGAGAACTGACAATATACAAAGTTAGAATTTCGAAAGGAAGAGAGACCTGATTTGCCAAAAAAAAAAAAAAAAAACTGGAATAGTTTCCACAAACAACGGCACCCCATTTATCTTTCATTCTTGAAGTCAACAGTCTGGCTGGCCTTTTCATGTGAAGTCGTTATCCTTGAAGATTTTGATATTGGCTATCAGTTTTAGGAATCAACTTGAACGCATATCTTTTTCCCTCCCCTAAATTGTTCTTTGTGCGGAATTCAGTCCATCCGGATCCGCAAATGTCGACCCTCCCAACATTTCTGGCTGAACTTGAGTCCGACGGTGGTTGACCACCCACGCAGACACCGCACCATCACTTCCTTCCTGGCTATTAAGCCCAGCCTCCTCCGCAAATGCGTTTGGAACAGTCCAGTATTACACAAAGACGGGATGCCTTACTCCGCCGTTTGGGGCCATGGCTTGTGGTTGCCGAACTTAAATCCTTCTCGCACCCACTGATGCCACCATATATTGCAACTCTACATGAAGATGGAATTTACGGGAAGCACAAGCCAGAACACCAGAAAATCATCCTTTTTCAGCTCGAGATCCTTCACAAATTTTGGCCAGCCAGCCATCCGTAAAGCAGTAGCTACCGTCAACATGCTCTATCTTTACAGACCATCATGCTTCTCCATATTTGGTCTCTATCACTAGCAGGGCACGCTCGGGCAGTATTTGTTCAAACGTATTCACAAATACTGAACGTATACGCTGCAAGAAGACGTACAACACAGCATGGATTCACGAGTATGGATTTGAAGTCGTGGACCAGGACCTTGAAGAACGAGGGTAAACCCATATTTGCCATCTTGAATGTGGGTTTGTACTACTATCTAACTATCTTTCGTCCAGGCTTCTCTTTTTCTTCACGAAAACGTCAAATACTTGCTTATAACTATCGAGATTATGATGGGAGTGCATAACCCAATTGACTTTTTTGTCAGACTTCTGACCGATGCCACCAAATTGTCAATTAGTACTTGATTTGCTTCCCACATGGGCCTAGGCCCTAGTAGCATGACATTTCATGTTTGACTAAGGACTGCCCGGTGCTGTCTATGGAACATTTGGTTGATCATGCTACGGACGGCCTAGTGCAGTGTAATACATAAAGGCGGGTAAATGCCTACTTTGGTACTATTTGTATTCCTCTTTTTTGGTGAAACTTTAAAGGCATCCAAAGTTAATTTTAATTTTTTTGTGTGATGTCATGTGTCATGAATTATAATTAATGATTATTAATTAGATCACAAAATTCATCTTGTGATTTTTTTTAAGAATAAAACGAGAAATCGGAATGGAAAGGAAAGAAAGCAAAAGAATCGAAATGTTAAAAAATGATATTTTTGGAGACGTGGTTTAAATATTTTGTTTAAAGAGAAGATTAGATCTTTGATTTTTGCAATTTCTATTTTTTAATTTCAATCACTAAGATGGAGTTTCTTGTGAAAAAGAGGAGGAATTAAAGAAAGAAGTAAGAGATAGAGAAAACAAAGGAGGAAAAAAGAGAAAAGAAAAAAAACAAAAGAAAGAAAAAATAAGAATAATTATGAGATATAGGGGTAATTTTGTCCAATAGGAAATAAAATGAGACAAAAAAATGTTAGGAGGTAAAATGATAAATGAGATATGCTTGAATGGAATTTTAATAATTATTAACCCGATTGGGAAAAAAAATCCAAACTGTTCTCCAAGCTTGTTTGGGTTGTGTATCAAGATTTTGAGGAAAAATCTAGGTGAAACATAAAAAGATAACTTCGGAATATGTTTATAGAAGGTTTTCAAAATGCTCATATATACATGTAATTGTAACACATGTAGAAAAGGTTGTCAGATTTGGCACCCGTAGAATGATTTGGCTTTATTGGCTGCGTGGCTTGTGGCTAGACTTAGAATCAGGCCCCTTGAAAAGTATTTTCGACTTTCGAGTGCGGCCGAGATGCACGCAAGCACATAGCTGATAGCTCTAGACGCCAGAACTGCTGAACCGCAGCTTGTACTAAAGGCCAGTATAGAGGTCAGGCTTGCTTTTCTGCTGGACAACATCAGGTAAAACCGCACCAGATTTGTGCATGCGTTGGACCAGGCTTGCTTTGTCAATTATCAACTTTTATTCGTACTTTTAGTCTAACCTATGTTAGAGAGAATGCTCAATTGGACCAAAAGGAGTCAGAAAGTATCCCAACTCTGGATCAAAAGATTCCAATCTAAATCAAAGGGGAATATAAAAAAGAGTAGCCACCTTTAGATCGAAGGAGTGTTTTACTACATGCTGTTTAAATTTTACTATAGGTATAGAGCTTTGAACCTCGTGTCCAAACCAATTCTTCTTTTTTTTTTTTTCCAGTCAGTCGTCAATTTCTATTTTTGCTTCTACCTTAACCTATAGGTTTAACTAGATCAAAAAAGATTAGAAAGAGAGGATCCCATCTCTAAATCAAAAAAAGAGTAAAAAATTTTGGAAGCCCTTAAGCTATCATCATCTTATCAAGTTTTGACCTTCAATCTAATTTTTATCTTCGATGAACTCCTAAACAGTTAAAAATGCATAGTTTAAGTGCTTCCGGTCATTTTATACCCAAGTCAAGCCGGAATCAAAGGGCAATTTCGTCCAACTATAATTGAAACATCGGGACCAGAATTAGCATTAGATCCATTAGACAAGAATTCTAACCAAAAAAAGAAAAATCAGATCTTCACCTTGAACCCTTTTAGATCCATTAGACAGATTTCTAATAAAAAAGCATTAGACCATCTTCACCTTGAACCCTTTACCAATAATCTCCTTGTACCTAAAGATAGAATCCAACCTCAGCAAACAAAAGCTCTACAAGCGGTGTGGGGAACAACACAGTGGCTAGCAACCCAACCAATCAAACATCTTGGTGGTGGTGGTAGCGGAAATGGCATGGGTGGTATTGGAAGCATTTCTACCATTGGAAATCATATAGTTGGCATGCTTTTCGTGATGGGGAATGCTCAAGACTTTATCCACAAAGCCACCCCATGGCTGGCCGAAACACATTGATAACGACGTTTGGGATGTGGCCATGGAAAGACGGACAAGAAGCTCATGGAGATGCTATCCTCTTCTTCTACTCCTAATTAACAATCTAACTCAGGAAGCACTATGGGCTATCGGTGAATTTTTGGATCTCTTCATGTTTTGCAAGCATTGAAGTTGTAAGCAGACAAGTGGAATTGTTGTCTTTCTTTTGCAGCTCGCTTTAAGCTTTTGAACTCAAAAAAAAAAAAAAGGAACAAGCCATTGATGTTGATTGCCTGGATTTGGTGGATGATAAAATAACTATAGATGTTTTGAGTAATAATAATAAAAAAAATCCAGCTTCTCTGCTACTTCAACTATTACGTAAACCTGTAGATGAAATCATTAGCTAGAGAAAGAGAGAGATGCACTTTTCTTGATACTTCAATTATGATTGGACAATAATGCCGTTTGCTTCCGGCTTGACTCGCACATAAGATGATCTGAAGCATTTAAACTATATATTTTTTATTGTTTAAGAGCTCACGGAGACAAAAAAAATTAGATCGAAGTCCAAAACTTGACAAGGTTGATAGTTTAAGGGTTCCTCGAGCCTTTTACTCTCAAAGAAATGCACTGCTGCAACTTTTGAATTTTATTGGAGGTACAAATGTCTAAATTCCCAACCTACAACGAGACTTGCAGTTTATGCTTCAGCCAATGGCTGACTTGGTAAAGGAGGGTTGCTAACGCAGGTAATCCCTGTTGAATTTATTTTCGGCCAGTCATTTAGATATGACTCCAAACCGGCTTTGTAGTTGATTCCATTCCACAAGGAGACGACGATACACGAGGTGCGTGCGGCTGCAAAACATCCTCCTGTGTTGATCAGACCAATTTGTTTTTTTTTTTTCATCTTTTTTGAAAGGTCGATCAGACCAAAATTACAAGGAAGAGTTGACAGATATTTAATTAGCACAAACTCGGAGTAACTAACCACCGGCAAAGGCTTTAGCCTTTAATATCAGAACGACAAAAGCTACTTATCAACTTCCAAATACAAGCACACAACTCTACTGTGGTTAGGGACAGGAAGCTGTTGGGGAATGGGGAGTAGTATTGGACTAACGTTTCTTGAACGGCTGAACCCGGATGCTATCAGTTTCAGGAATGAACTCAAAGGCATACTCCTGTCCCAACTCTAGTGCATTATTTTCCAGGAAATCAGTCCACCCTTTGCACATGTATAGCATATCGTTATCGTAGAGCCGCAGTTCAACACGCCAAGATGCTCCATTCGTATTTTGCAGCATCACTTCTGACTTGTTTACGAGTCCATGCTTCTTAGCAAATGGCATCTTTACGTTCTAATAATAAATATTAATTACGATAAAAGTTCAGACAAAACTACAACCTTAAGCAAAATATAGCAACTAATATTCAGGCAAAAAGTGGTTTACCGCCTTGTGAATTTTATTCCTTTTTTTTTTATGTGGATAGAAAAATTAATTTACCATTCTATATCGGTGATAATTCGCCAAAACCTTGGTATAGTACTTGCCAGCATCTAGAGATCCCTTGTCATACCGAATCTTCTTTGATTTTCTCTTCCTTGAACCTGCATGGTGCATTATAGAGTAATTAAGGCTTTGTTTGGATTGGACTTTATTTCTCAAAATTTATTTGCTTACATCATCGTTACAATTTTCAATGCACCTTTTTACCTTCCCAATTACCTTTTTATCTCACATACATCACATCACAAAAAGTGCTACAGTAAAAATATCTCTAATAATTCACGATCCAAACAGACCATAAGTTGGAATGAACGGTACAAGATTTCCATCTTCTAGTGGGGTTAAAAAAAAAAAAAAAAGCAATTGTAGATTTTAATATTTTGCATTTAAATGGCTTTAAATCCTTGAAAGGGGGAGCATTCTTTTAGCACTCTCATAACATACAGTACCAAAATTGACCAGTCTGTCTTAATGTATACTAGCATTCTTTACTCCTCTTTTTTTTTTTTGTTTCTTTTGGTGGGGTTGTTGGAGAATATCAATTGCAACCGAAAGCGGGTGAAAAAAAAAACCCAAAATCCAAGCTTATCAGCAAAGGACCCTAAAAGGAAAAGGGCAAGAACAGGTGAAGGGTGGGTGAAAGAACCCATTTTTTAGAATTAAAAAGAAGCTAATTACCCTGGACTGCACTTTTGGATGGCTGAGTAAGTGGATTGCGATTGATCTCCGGGTTTGGTTGATCAACCAATTGAGGCAAAAAATGACGTGGATCATGGATCGGGGCTGATGGATTCAAATCTTTATCGCACCCAGTGGTTCCATACATTGCAACTTCGAAGATAGTAGTACTATTGTTTTTGCCAAGCACAAGCCAAAACACAAGAAACTCGCCCATTTTCAGGCCATGATCTTTCACGAACTTTGGCCAGCCATCAGTGAAAAAGTATTGCTCACCAATTCGCTCAATCTTTACGGACCATGTTTCTCCAGATTTAATCTGAAGCAGGGCACTTTCAGCCAACAGATGTTCAAATGTCTTCCAGAAAAGCGGCGGCATACTCTGCAGCACAATAATACTTAATGCATCATACTCCCAACGGATAGCAAATACTTACTAGACTTAAATTAAACGTACGAAAATTTGAGTCAACAATCTCCCTTGAGCAACAGTACAGTATTTAATGGCAAGTGAAGTTGACAAACGCAATCTGCCAGGTGTTAGTCATGCAGATGCACACATAAATGCCCGACCAAAAGAGATAAAAGTAGGTATGCAGTTATTATAGCAGCATTTTTACTTACGAGCTTGGAGTAAAAGCCAGGGACGAGGACTTTAAAGAAGGAAGGCGATGCCTTAGCCTTACTTGTCATGATCACTTCTCTTCACACTTCGCACTCTGTCTTCTTAGGCTTTGTCCTTGACGAAAATGGCACTCTAGTTTGTGGAATGGGGAACCAAAGCTAGATGGGTTTAGCCTCACGAGCATGAAAAAACTTTGCCCGGTCTATCACCGCTGCGCTCCATTTGCTGGGGACTCGTGCCCTTGTCAGTTTTACGGTAGAGTGCGTATAGCCGTGGACGTAAGCTCAGCCCGCAAAACCAAGTGGGTCACGAAAAGAGCTCTAAAGCCACTTGAGATCCTCGATGACATGTTTTCTATGTCAATCCAATACCATCAATAGTTTTGCGTCAAGTGTCATGTTATTATTTAAACTTGTATTAAACCAAGCCAAGTTGAATTATTAGAAAATTAAAGTGTAAATAATAACAAGACACTTGGCACAACACTATTGGTGACATTGAATTGGTATAGAAAACATGTCACCGAGGATCTCAAGTGAACTAAAGCTCTACTTGCGTTAAGGATCAAATTTTCTTACCCGTATTCTAGGTCATGTTTGGCTTTCATTTTTTTAGATTCTTTCATAAAAAAAAATTATTGTAACGATTTGATACATGTAAAATAAAAAAATAATTAAAAAATATATTTATAAAAAAGATAATAGTTTTTCTTTGAAAAATGGCTTTCCAAACAATTCAGACTTTCCTGAAAATATCGGGTCCGTTTGGATTAGCTGTTTTTGGGGTTATTTTTCAAAAACAGAACTGTAGCATTTCGTTTTTCAAATACAAGTCCGTTTGGATTAGTTGTTTTTGGGGTTGTTTTTAAAAAATTATATAAAAAACTTTTACTGTAGATGTTTTATGGATTATTTTTAGATGTATTTTTAAAACATATTTTCGAGTATTTTTATAATGTATAATTTTTAAATTTTTATAACAATATACAATTATACATTTATAAATATTTATAAATAAATATATTCATATAAAAATATATAAATGTATTATATTATATATAATACATAATATAAATATATAAATGTATAAATGTATAAATAAATATTATATAAATGTATAATTTATAATTTATAATTTATAATTTTTATATTTATATACATTTATGCATTTATAATACATTTATAAATATTTATAAATAAATATATTTAAATATTTATAAATAAATATATTTATACTTTTATAAATAAATATATTCATATATTTATATATAAATGTTTAAATGTATATTACTATAAATATATAAATTATAAATGAATATTGTATAAATGTATATTATAATTTATAATTTATAATTTTTATGTTTTTATATTTATATACGTTTATGCATTTATAATACAATTATAAATATTTATAAATAAATATATTTAGATATTTATGAATAAATATATTTATATATTATTATAAATAAGTAAGTGTATTATATATATAAATAAATTTATATATTATATATAAATAAATAAGTGTATTAGATTTATTTATTTATTATATATTATATTTATAAATAAATATATAAATGTATTATAAGTGTATTATATTATATATAATACATAACATAAATATATTTATAAATGTATAAATGTATATTATTATAAATGTGTATAAATTATAAATGAATATTATATAAATGTATATTATAATTTATAATTTATAATTTTTATGTTTTTATATTTATATACATTTATGCATTTATAATACAATTATAAATATTTATAAATAAATATATTTATATATTATGTATAAATAAATAAGTGTATTATATTTATAAATTTGTTTATATATTATATATAAATAAATAAGTGTATTATATTTATTTATCATATATTATATTTATAAATAAATATATAAATGTATTATAAGTGTATTATATTATATATAATACATAATATAAATATATTTATAAATGTATAAATGTATATTATTATAAATGTGTATAAATTATAAATGAATATTATATAAATGTAGAAATTAATATATTATAAATATTTATTAATACTATGCATAAATGTATTAATGTAATAAATATAAATTTATTAATTTATTAATATTATGTATAAATTTATAATTAATATTATGTATATTAATATAAATGTATAAATGTATTATATTATATATAATACATAATATAAGTGTATATTATAAATATACATAAATATATATATTATGTTTAAATGTACATTTTTATAAATGTTCAATATATATAATATATATTATGTATATATTAAATATATATAATATATAACATTTACATAAATGTATAATAACACATTTATAATATATAATATTTATATAAATATATAAAAAATATATTTTATATAAAATAAAATATTTATAATATGTATAAATAAATATATTTAAATTAATATAATATATATATCCTATACATAATTGAAATATATACATATTAAATATGTATTTGGAGTTGTTTTTGATATATTGTTTGGATATGGTGTTTTTGGAGTTGTTTTTGAAATACACATTTACTGTAGCATTTGGATTGTGAAAAACAGTTTTTCAAAAACAAACCCAAAAACAAGAATCCAAATGGACCCATCGTTAGTTAGCAAATGTGTAAGCACTTATATGGATCGGTGGTGATTTAGTCTCCTCTACATTCTCCTCCCCAGGTTATCGAGATTTGTGATTGATTTCTTTTACTCTTTTTTTTGGAATAACTTTTTACACGTAAGCAACTTCTTAGTAATACGGTCGCTCTTGGGTTGACTTTGATTTGACAGTTTTTTCCTTTGTGTAAAATGCTACATTGTACGGTCAGCATTTTTTTTTTGCTAATTCTTTTTTTAATTTTAGTTGATAACTAAAATTATATCACTTTAATCCTTTTTATTAATTTATTTTATTTTTTGGAAAGTATACCATACCAATCTAACAATTAATTTTCTTATAAAGGTATATTACTAGTACCTATTTTATCATAAGATTAGTACTATTTTTAATAACAATTACGAAAACGTTAAATTTCTTTTAATCAAATTTCTTATAACAAATCACCTTTTTTTCTTTGATTACTATAACTTTAAAATAGCAAACAAAATAGCACTATATATATATATATATATATATAACATAGAAAATCAAAGACAAAAAAAAAATCAACTGTCATACAAGTGGAAAAAAATTTCAACCACGATTATAAATGTGATAATAAATAAAACCATATAAGTCTAATTTTCACATTTTTTTTATACTTTATCTTTATTTTTAAAATTTTCTTATTCCCAATTATAATCTATTAAAATTTTCATTTTGCATTTAGTATGCTTTACTCTTATATCATGGATCATTTGCAACCCCCCCCCCCCCCCCCCCCAAAAAAAATACACTCCAAATCCCCCAACCTCTGAGTTGGTCGAGTATTTTTGCCTTGAAAACTTCTAAGTACAAAAAATTATACAAATTTATTTGCTAAAATCAGATTTTTCAGTTTGAAATGGACAATGACACAATTAATGGTCATATCCTTTCTGCTTAAGAAAAACCAGAATCAATGGGAGTACTTCAGATAAAGGTGGAACGAGAGGGAGATAGGGAGGAGGATTTGGACCCTGTCCCTGTTAGCCTGCGTGCAGAGATTTATCAGTGTTCGCTGGACAAGTCCCATGGGTGAAATCAGTTTCTTTACACGGTGTTTGCTTTAAGCAGGACCAAAAACTAATCCCACCTTCAAAGATCAGTTCTCCTTCTACATAAACGGGTTAGACGATAATTGCACATGTATTATTACAAGCAAAAGACCTGGACAGAAATTTTGCCAAGAGCACTGAGCCATGGTAATTAAGACCTGTCCTTGGATGTTCGAAACTACAAAACCTGCATGGCGTTAACCGTGAACTGTCATAAAACAGTGAAAAACTTACTATGCCACCTTATGAAGATTGCTAACCACATATGAATTATAACACAATAGATGCATTGAACAGGCTGCTGGCTAATTTTGTTCCTAAAGCAGCTGAACTTGGATGCTACCAGTCTCCGGAACGTACTCAAATGCACACTTTTTCCCACACAGTAGCCTATTCTTTTTTCGGAATTCAGGCCAGCCTGCACACATGTCCAGCATGTGAGGTTTCGTAGACTGTTTTAGTACCACATTGGTTGACCACCCGTTCTGATATCGCAGCTCCACCTGTGTCTTGCCCATTAGTCCAGTTTTCTCAGCAAACAGCAGCGGAACATGCTTAAATTCACACAAGAAATTAAACCATTCAAATTAACAAGGCAAGCCCACCAATGCCCATGTAAAAAATCTTCTTCAGTTTAATTTCCCTTTTGGGTTCAAGGCGCTCTTACTTACCAATCTGTATCGATGATGTTTAGCCATAACCTTGGTGAAGCGTCTATCTTCCACTGAATTAAAAGATTTCTGAGCACCACAGCTAGGATTCTCATTCCTTTTTAGTTTTCTCCTTTTTGCATCTATTCAAAAGAAAAGCACTTTATTGGGATTCAGCAATACTACTTTACTTTCCTTTCCTTTTCCCACTTGATGGAGAAACTAGAAATGACCAAACTCAATAGCTAGTACTGTTACTGGGAGTGTACCAAGCACTCGTATGCTATGCATTCAAAATAGTAAACAAGTGCAGCAGGATATATAGTTCCAGAAGATCGATGAAATTGGGACTTAGTTAACTGAATCAGGACGCAATTCCTTTGTAACAGCATCCTATACATACTTGCCTGACAAGGGATAGATAATTCACAAACTCGACCCGCAGACTGCAGACTCAGAAAAACAGAAAATGCAAAACAAAAGTTAAAAGAGCAAACCGTAGGTGGTGGTACCGGTATCAGACGGCTTAGGTTGTAAAATGCGAATACTTCTCAGGTCCAATTCAGTAGATTCAGCTTGTTCAACTTTGATGGGACAATGGTTTGTAGCTGCTGAATTAAACTCTTTTTCGCACCCTCTGATTCCATAAATTGCAACTTTGAAGCTGGATCTTGCCTCGATGATGAGCCAAAACACCAGAAGATCGCCGATTTCCAGCTTAAGATCATTCACAAATTTCGGCCAGCCATCTGTGAAGCAGTAGCGCTCATCAATGCGCACAATCTTTACGGGCCACGTTTCTCCAGATTTGGTCTTAAGCAGGGCATGCTGAGGCAATATTTCTTCGAATCTACTCACAAAAAGAGTCGGTATACGCTGCAAGGAGGACATATCATACACAGCATGCAATGCATTATATATTATTACATCTCAGACAGTTAGTCAGTGCATGCAGCTCAAATAAGAAATTATCAGAACCGGAAAAAAAAAACATAAAATGCAATTATACAGTCACATTCATTGATGAGTCATCAATCCTTTCTTCCCCCTCTCATAGACATATACATGAAATGGAACTTATTACTTACGAGTATGGACTTGGAATCATGGACTAGGACTTTGAAGAATGAAGGGAAGTCCATGGCAGCCAGAGCCAGAGGCGGGGCTCCTTTCTTTTGCCCTTCCGTCCTTTCACGCAATTTGCGGTCTAAAACTCATTTAAGTAAAGGGCCGTTGCATGCAGGACATTTGGCTACAAAATGCAAAAGTGCGTGCCACCGTGGACTCGGTGTCAAGACAAAAAAGGTGCCGAGATGGATTCCCCAATTTTATTAATTTTTTTTTAAATTATACTGTTTTTTTTTTTAAAGCTCTGTACTGATTTTAAATTTAGCTCTTAACAAATATTAGCAGACTAACATTTAAAAACAGTAAACAACCACAACCGTGCTCTAATATATCCTACACCACAAAAATGGGTTTATAAGGTTTTCTCATCGGTTCGTTTTATGTTGTTTTGAAGTCATTTTCGAGATGCTTTATAAGTAATATTTTTTTAAATGTTTTTTAAGGCTTAACATTCATTCATCCTCGAACTCAAGATCATGTTGCTTTCCATTTGAATTGCGTTTTGGATTTTTTTTTGTTGTAATTTGTAGCACTTTCCATAATATGATTTATCTAAAATAAAAAGAACACCATATCTTATGTATACTATTCCCCGACTTAATTTTGCGTTAGTTCGAGTAACAGTATAAAATGAATACTAAAAATAACTATACTTTGCATATTAAATTCTAAAATAACCTAATCAAAGTAACACTAACTGTTAAGCTTGGATTTTATTCCATCAATCAGTTCCATAGGAGGAACACTATGACACTAACAATTATTGTTCTTGAATCAAAAGCTGCTACAATTTGTCCTCGAAAACACTGTTTAAATTGAAAGATTTATTGGTTTAATAATTTTGAAAACAAGTGTACATGAAAATTTAATATGCTTTTCGGTTAAAATCAATTAAACTAAATGTCAAAAGAAAACAAAGTACAACAACACTGATGATTAATTTCGAGCTTAAAACATTAGAATCACAACACTGATTGTTAATTTCTAGCTTACAAAATTAGAATCAGTATTTCCTTTTTTTTTCTTATTATTATTATTATTTTGCGCTGATGAACTTAATTAGGCTTATCTTCATTCTAGGCCCAGCTCTAGTTTTTGTGATTTTAGCAGGCCAAGATCCGTCTTGCCCGACCCAATCGATCGTTCTACCCAAATTACTAACAAAGGACAAAGCATGAACGGGATATCTAACGCTCGATGCACGACTTAAATGTGACGCTTTTCCTGACTAAGTCGTGAGGCTGTGTCTGTGAGTTCAAGTCCGACTGTTCGACTAGAACCCTGAACCCTGTCAGAAAAGTCCCGCTGCAGCACCGTGCCATGCGACACCTCCTGGTCACCCTCCGCCGGCGCTACTGCAACCATCCTAAACCCCTCATCCAACGTGCACACTACAAACCCCAGAAGCCTCAGCCACCACCTGCCCCACCTTCACCACCAAAACCTCCCAAAAAACCAGCAAAATTTAGCCTCCATGGGGAGTCATGGGAGGACCCGTATAGCTGGATGTCACAGTTGAATGATAAGGTAGCCATGCGCCACATGGACGTCTACATGGAGCAAGAAGAGAAGTATATTGAGGCCGTCATGTCCGATACTGAACGCCTCCAGTCGAAACTCCAGTCTGAAATGGCCTCTCGCTTTTCATTTGACCTCTCCACTCCTCCGCTCCGCTGGGGACCCTGGTAAAATTTCAACATTTTCCTTAATTTTTTCTATTTCCAGAATTTCAAGAAAAGAATGTTCATAGTGGTTTTGATTTTCTTCCCCCAATTTGGTTTAGCGATTAAGAAAACTGAGAGAATTCAGCAGGCTTTAGGTCCTGATGCATATTTCTTGCAGATTCGTTCATATGATGGTTTTTCCCTCAAAGCGAAATCCCACGAGAGAGGAAGAAGGGGGGGGGGGCTGGGAAGAAAGTTGATTCCAATAGTGGAGTATTTTAGGCGTGACTTAGGATTATAGTCTAAAGATTTTTCCATTTACATTATGGATTGGAGGGAATTTTGGTTGATGCAGGTTGTACTACAGACGAGCAGAAGAAGGGAAGCAGTATCCAGTGTTATGTCGAAGATTAGCTAGCTTAAATGAAGAGTTTATTTCTCACAAATCTCCATCAGCCGGGTTTGATTTCACCTCTGGGCAGAGAATTGAGCAGAAGTTGCTTGATTATAACCAGGAAGCTGAAAGATTCGGGGGTTTGTTTTTTGCCTGCTTGCTTTTGATATTATTCGATTGTTTGGTTCAGCCTGTCTTTGACTCTGATGACATGTTAATAGGTTATGCTTATGAGGAATTGTCAGAAGTTTCACCTGACCATCGCTATCTGGCATACACTATGTATGACAAGGACAATGACTACTTTAAATTATCTGTGAGGGACTTGAATTTTGGTACACTTTGTAGCAAGCCTCAGGCTGATCGAGTTTCAAATATAGCTTGGGCTAAAAATGGACAAGCATTGCTATATGTTGTAACCAATCATGATAAGAGGCCTTACAGGTTGGTAATTCATGTGTGTGTGTGTGTGTTGGATGTGTAGCATGAAGTCACCTTTGTTTTGGATTTCTTGACAGGCTATATTGTAGCATGGTTGGATCGGATGAAGATGACATTCTGCTTTTAGAGGATCCTCAAGAAAATGTTTATGTAAATATAAGACATACCAAGGATTTTCAGTTTGTGACTGTGAATACATTCTCAACCACATCTTCAAAGGTATTGTCTTATATGCTCGGTTATCATTTATTTCCTGGTCAACCAGTTTCTCTATCTGTGACCGATTTTTAGATCTTTCTAATAAATGCAGCTGATCCCTTATCTGGCATGACTCTAGTTTGGGAGTGTGAGACACGAGCCCACTGCATGGTTGAGCACCATCAAGGTTTTCTTTACCTCTTTACTGATGCTGCCAAAGAGGGCCAGCCTGTTGATAACCACTATCTCCTGCGTAGTCCTGTTGATCCTTCACCAAGTCTCAGAAAATGGGAGGTTGAAATGTCTTATGTCATAAACATGCTTTTGTTATGCATCTATAGACACTTTTTGAAGCATTGTCTTCTATTTTACTTTATGATGTTGCTTTGCTATATTGAGTAGTACTTTCTTTTTGAGCGGTTCTGCAATTATCTTTGAATTCCTACTCATCCTTATCTTCATAAATCAAGGCCATTTTTTTTATTGTTTGATCTGATGCAGAGTGTCTTTGCTGATGACGATGAGTTGATTGTTGAAGATGTTGACTTTAGTTACTCACATTTGGCACTAATTGTAAGAGAAAATAGGGTGTTTAAACTCTGTTCAGTTTCTCTTCCTCTGCCTAGTGGCAAGGTAATATACTAGTTAAGGTTGAAATTTGAAAAATTGACCATGTTGTGGAAAAACTCTTTCACCCATGCTTTGAGTTTCTTGGTATCATGTGTAGATTCTACTTGTTTGTCATGAATAAGCATGCTTTCTTATCAATTCATTGTTCATGTGACAGGGATCTTTTCATCTCAAAGAGCTTTATCCACAATTTTTGCCACTTCCAAGTAATGTTACTCAAATATCGCCTGGACCAAATTATGATTACCTTTCGTCAACCATGCGCTTTACGATATCCTCACCTGTGGTATGTGGTCATTTGTTAATTAGTGGTAATGCTGGTTTTCATTTGAAAACAAGTCATGTACCTGGCAATAAATGGGTCACTGGCACTGATTTATTGCTGTTAATCTCCAAACAATAGGAGGGAAGAGTTTTATGCCTAAAAGTGCCAAGTCAATCAAATCAACTTTGTACTGCTGCTTTTCTCTATACTGAATATTGATAACTTGGTTTGGAATTTCTTCTTGTAGATGCCCGATGCTGTAGTTGATTATGATTTGTCAAATGGGAAATGGAATATTGTTCAACAGCAGAATTTGCTGCATGAAAGAACACGTGTTTTGTATGGGTCAGCATCATCTGGTAGCAGGGGTGAGAAGTCACCTTTGTCCAGGGTAGATGAAGTCAATATTGCAAATGATAATCCATGGAATGACCTTGTTGAATATTATGGTTGTGATCAGTACAGTGTTCCATCTGATGATGGAGTTGTTGTTCCTTTAACCATAGTGTATTCACATCATAGAAGGAAAGAGGATCAGAGTCCTGGCCTGCTCCATGGCCATGGAGCTTATGGAGAGATACTTGATAAAAGATGGCGCAATGAGTTAAAAAGCCTTCTTGATCGTGGTTGGGTGATTGCATATGCTGATGTTAGGTGCGTGCATCAAATCATTTGAAAGTTTATATCCATTTTTAACTTGTGTTTACATGCAGTAAGGTATTCTTAAAAATATCCTTATAAAATTACAAATATTTGGGGTGTAAGGATTGGAATTTCAATTCTGTTTCCTAATTAGCCATAAATCTCTAGCTTTGATTCTCTGTTTATTGCCTTTATGTCCAGAGGTGGCGGTGGCTTTGGTAAAAAATGGCATCATGATGGCCAGCGCTCAAACAAGATAAATTCCATTCGCGATTATATCTGCTGTGCGAAATTTCTGGTTGACAACAAGATTGTGCAAGAAAATAAGCTTTCTGGTTGGGGATATAGTGCTGGAGGATTGTTGGTTGCTGCTGCAATTAATTCTTGTCCTGATTTATTTCGTGCTGCAGTTTTGAAGGTGATCCTAGAGCACTTAATGACTTTATTACTTCCTTGCCCTTTCCTTTTAGTTGATGCCTTGAGTTGTCTTTTGACTATGCTCTACCAAGAGGCGCCTTAAGTGATTTTCAAATTTAACCAATTTTCTGTTAAATTTGTTGTGCATTTCTTCTTTGAAGAGCTAATCATTTTGCTAAAAAGATTCAGCGCATCCTTCTCTTTATTTAGCTGTTCTGCTTTCTCCACAATGAATTAGAAAGCATAAAGAGGTGCTTATTCTCCTTTCTGAAGAAATTTGTCCTCTTGTCTTTCTTGATTAGGTTCCATTTTTGGATCCAACCAATACCCTTCTCTATCCCATTTTACCACTTACACCTGTTGATTATGAAGAATTTGGGTACCCGGGAGATGTTGAAGATTTTCAGGCTATGCGTGCTTATTCTCCTTATGATAACATACAGAAAGGTGTTCACTACCCATCTGTTTTAGTGACCTCTTCATTCAATACCCGGTAACTCCAACACCTGTCATTTTCTGGCTATCTGTATAACTATTATTCTCACATTGGGATAACGAGTCCAGTGTGTCGAAAACTTCATGCTAAAAAACTGCCGATCTGGGGGACTGAAAACATTTTGAAATAATATATAAGTAAAAGCAGTTCATGAGAGGTTAACGGTTTGCTAATTGTCCATCCCAATTAAACATGCCAGTTTCCATATTTTTTCTCTGGTTATATTAGAAGTAGGAAATCACAGCTTTGTGAATTTGGTAAGGGTGCTGTTACATGTGGATAGAATTGTCGTCGAGGATATTTTCTGAGTATTAATTTGTCGACTATAGCGGGGAAATTATCCAAAGCCAGTACATTTTTATTGCATGAGTTCTACAGGTTTTGATAGCATAGTCATGGTAATGTTAAGAAATCAGATGAACAGCAATATAAATAGTTTTGAGTCTAGTTATATCAGATGGAGTATTTTGGTGACTAAGTTGGGTTAATTATTCTGAAAAGGGACACATTGAACAATTGGCACTCGTGATAGGGTGCACCACGGCAGCTTGGACATGGGGTAATTTTGTGTGCTGCTAACAAATTGCCTAGGACTGAAGTTCTTCATCTTTTGGTGTCATGGTTGTAGACGAGATAAAAAAAATTTTTTCCCCCTTTCCAGGTTTGGAGTTTGGGAAGCAGCAAAATGGGTTGCACTAGTGCGTGAAAACTCTATTTATGATCCTAAACGCCCAATACTGCTCAACTTGACAACAGATATAGTCGAGGAAAATAGATACTTGCATTGCAAGGAGTCTGCTTTAGAGACTGCTTTTCTTATGAAAATGATGGATCTGTAGGGATGCTTCTTGAACACAGCACCTCTGTTCCTTGACCTGTGCAATCAGAAGGAAGGTCGAGTCAACTGGGGCGTGCATAGCAAGTGGATACATGCAAACCGTCGTGGTATTCTATTATTACGACGACTACATTCGAAGACACAAAGTTCAGGCTGTGTCCAATCCGTGCTCTTCGTTCCAGGTGGGCGTTAGCCTTTCTGATGCTGCTGAGATCCAGTCGAGCTACTTGGTTCATATGAACGATGAATTAGGTTAACATCAGTTGCTGGCTGCTTCGCTTTTCTGTTTGGCATAGCTGGTTCTTGACCGCTATTGATATGTTGATGACCCGGACGGGTAAATCGGTAAATCTAAGAAATCTCGAGCCTGGTTGCTACTTTTTCCATTAGCAGTTGAATTATAAATGCCTTGGGCAACTACCATGTAAAGTTACTTTTTTGGGTTTGCTAATCCGATAAAAGGCATTGCAGACTTTTTGTCAAAATGTTGCTCCTTGAGCACTGAGCACAGCACTACTTTATAGTGCTAAAACTTGATCCGAGAAAAAGAAAGGCTTTTGTAATTGCTCCTCCGGCACTTTATCGGGCTACGTACCTTTTGCAGAAGCTTAGCGAGCATGGGCCTGATATACGATCAGGATTCCGTATTGCGCCGAATAAATTTCTCCAAAAAAAAAAAAAAAAAAACGAAAGATTTTAAAAGCTGTTGTGTCTTCTTCAACACCAACTTTGTGGGGATGGCATAATCTACAAAATCTCGAAATCGGAAAAAGTTTTCAACCCAAAAGGATGAGCAATCACAGATGTGTGTGTATTTATCTGCATGAGTTGAGTGTTCATGGCAAACAAAACCCCATGGGTGTGGCCCAACAGCAATAATTGCTAGTAATAAAACCGAAGGAAAGCGCAAATGTCCAATCGCCTTAAATTATCAGCTCTCCCCTGAGTTTTTATTCTCTAATTCTTCCGTGTCTTGGGACTTATTCCTCCGAAGACGCGGGAACAATGAATCGCAACATCCATGCATGGTTTGTTGTACTTTGTGCCCAACGTTATTCTGCAACATGCTGTCAGACTAATGACCGAGCTACGGATGGAGTTAAAAAGCGTGCAGTTGATGGAGTCATTTTACCGAAAGTGATAGAAGCTCGTTATCAAGAAGGAAAACAAAGATTGAATCAGGACAAGAGCTAAGACCAGGGAAGCTAATCTAAGTCCTGTTGAGGATGAGTTTGACATTAGCAACCGATCAAATTTATGAGATGATAGGCTTGTGACAACCTTAAATGGTTCGTAAACAACTTGTCCACTTCTTCTTGTCCTGTTTTGACGAATTCCACCGTTGAAATTGGACCGGATACGTTACAACACATTGGACCGACCGAAGTATCGCTGGTTTTATTGTAACAATCCTCCAAACAAGCAAATACGTAAAATAAAAATAATACTAATAAGTAAACCAAAAGGAACCAAGTGCGTCGCTTCTTCATCTCAGCTACTGAAAAAAGCTAAGAAACTAGTGCAACATCCGAACAGGACATTGAAGAGCCAAGCAAGCAAAAATATAATCTCAACAACATACAATAGAGAACAATTTGGTCACGAGCCAAATGTCAGTTGGTATATCTGCTTTAGGTCATAACTACAACCTCAGATGATACAAATTTCTAATGCTAAACTCTACAAGAAACTCAACGAGGTAAAATATGACAGTTTTAACCAAGAAAAACCACGAATGAACAAATATACCCAGATTGCAGCATAATGGCGGCGCAAAGGGGTGAAAAAATCCAGCAAAATCTCTCAGTTCTCTTCCTCGCTCTTGCATCTGGATATTTGCAGTCTCAGAGATTTAGCCCAGTTTAGGCAATCACATCTCTTAGATCTCGCCCCACCCCAAGGCAAGGTCAGCAAAAGCTCATTTGTAGCATTCAGCCTTGTGCTTCTGCATCTTCCATCACAGTTGGAAGGCCACCTTCTTTAATAAATGCGGGGTTGAGAAACTTAGCCACAAAAGCCCACAACTTGTAAACATCATCAAAATTAGTTAGAAAGCCAAGAGAGGCAGTGACAACTTCAACCCTGATGAACCCGCTTCTAACATCATGCCTGCCATTCTCCATTGGCTTGCAGAGTGTGGTATCTTCCAGGTTGAAAGCACCACGTTGCTGCTTTGGGCTATCTAATATCCGAATATGACTAAGAATACCCACACCAAGAGAGATGCCATGTGACTCTGCGAGCTTCTGTACAACTTCAGGACTGATTAAGCCCCTGTTCCGGTCTTTCACATTAAATGCAACAGCTGCACCTCTTTCATATTTGATTTTTGGCCCATAAATGTGGACAAGGGGAAGATTATCCTCCCCATTTGGACCAGGTATTCTTAGTTGGAGCAATGATGTTACCAGCCAATTGATGAGAAACCGTAGTCTAAGGGTGGTCTTATTGAGTCCCAACATATTTATGTGATCAAGATGCCGGCATATTATCTCAGGTTCTCTTCTATCGGAGTCTTGGCCATCACCATACTCCCCATCGCTAACGTACTCCTCATCATCCAGGCTTGTGGCAGATAGCTCTCCTGCCTCCATAGTATGGCTGAGACGTGATTTATGGGCGTCTTCCATGCTAAAGGATACTCTTCTTCCCCTGCTTCCAGGCTGCTCAATCTCCTCGATGCCAAAAAATCTGCCGCCAGCGTATCTGTTTCCTTCTCTCCTTTCAAGTAATCTGAATTCACCTTCTGTCTCCCTCCTTATAGCACTCTCTTTTGGCTCGGCACACAGTGCAGCAGCTGAACCATTCTCAAGGATTCGTGACTGAGAAAGAGAATCTGAGTTTCTAAGATTAGATCCCTTGACAGCAGAATTTAACATCCGAACTGCTTCCAAGGTTTCAGGTTCTTCTTCAATTTCCTGAATATGGCGATTACCAGGAGCTTTTCTGCTTTCTCTAAGATTAACATTTCTTTCGTTTGACTGCTCTTCACCAGAATTCTCCTGTACATGGTCAAATTCCTGAGACACAGATCGAACAGCAGCATCAAATGACAGCATGTGGTCCTCAGTGTGCCCTGGGGTTGCCTCTTGATCATACATGGGGCTGTTCAGTGTCTTTGCCAGTTTTGGTGACAGCCTCTTATTATTCTTCCCGCCAGCAAACCAAGATGGTGGTGCTGGAGAGGCCACCTTTTGTTTGTTCAATTGACCAGCATTATCTGAACCCAAAGGACTCTGACCCAGATCAATCCAGAGGGAATTATCAGAGGATTCATCTTCACTAAAAACTGGACTTTTCATTACCTCCCCAATGGAAATACTCTCAGTTTCTTCAAATATGGTGCTCGCGCCATCCCTGTCAGAACTGTTATCATGTTCCATCTCAGTCTCAAATACATCCCTTACCTGGGCAGAAGTGAATGCACCCGAAAAAGCAGGCAACTGAGATCCTGGACGAGTTTCAGTTTTAGTTTCACCATTCTCACCAACTTCATCATCCTCAATCAATCCAGGAAAACCATCAATTGAATCACTCAGATATAGAGGGAAAATGGGAGTAATTTTCACTATGCCAGACCCGGCATGGCCTGACTGATTCTGTAGGCTTCCCATCACAGATTTCTTGATCAGGAGGCATCCAAATCCAGTTGGGTCGTACCCAAATACCCGGTAAAAGGATGTTATGATGAAATCAGGCCGAAATAGAGATAGTCCAAGAGAATCCATGTCTTTTGGACCCAAAGCTCCAGCATCGAGTAAGACATGCCAGTTGTTCTGCTGAGCCAGTGCCATCCACTGGTAAGAGTACTTTGCGCCAGTAACTCGAGACTGGACAGGGAAGACAAAAAGACCAACTGCTGAATCTTTCTTCCTCCTCTTTTTATTAGAAATTTGCTTTCTTAGATCAGTTGAGCAGAGTTTAAGGGTTGGCCATTTAAACCAGGCACTATGAACTTTAGCACCTTTCTCTCTGGCACTTTGAGCCATCCAATTCACTGACTGACTTTCATGATCAAACATCGTCAACAACCTTTTGTTTGTATGAAAAGGATAGGACTCAGCTAGCAGTTTAAAAGCTGATCCTCGGCTAACAGTAAAAACAAGACCATACTCATGCTCAGGAATGTTCAAATAATCCATTATTCTGGCCTTTATATCATATTCCACAGTACCCTTTTCAGCACCACCATACAAAGCATGATTGCTCAGATTAGCAGTAATCTCAGACAGGCTAAATGTAGATGACTCCCAATAATGCACAGTTTGAAGGAATGAAAATAACCCAAATCCACAGTAATCAAGACACACTTTAGGAATAGAGCCAGAAAGGTGAGAGTACTCATCTGACCTCAGCTCATCAATCCTCCCTGACGACTGGTACTTGGGATACATGGTGACAAACTTTGAATATGTTTCCTCAAGGTCTGGAATGGTGTCCTCCGCTTCAAAGATACGCTCAGCAGCAAGAGCAGTGGCTCTCAGAAATTCTTTCTGAGCATGTAGCCTTGCAAGGGACCGCGATCGGCCCAAGCCCTCGTCTTGATTTGCCATCGACTCTGAGTCCATATCCTGAGATTTAACAAGAGACCCATCCTCGGAAGCTTCCTCAAGAGCCTCCCTAAGCTTGTGCTCTTGCAATTTCCTCAAAATTGATGGATTTCTCTTAATTTCCTCCGTTGAGTGACTAGACCCCTCTTTTCTTCTGCTCTTCTTATCCAAAATCAGAGCAGCACAGTGAGATATTGGCTTCCATAGTGAAAGATGCATCAAAGCTTCTTCTTTTTTTTTTTTCCCCTCTCTGAAGCTTAGGAGAAAACCAGAAAACAGTAATCAAATAAATGAGTCACCAGAATAAAAGGGTAAGTTTAGCCCATCAACCAGCAAACTCCAAAGAAAAAGGCTCAAGTTCAAACCTAATTTCAAGAAAAAGCAAAAGTCATCAAGCTAAAAAGCTTCCAGGAATCAAAACCTTTGCTTTCCGAAATCAAATTCCCTGTCTTAAGGAGGGAAAGAAGCTAAGCATTGGCTTTAGCAAATAATTCAAACGAGAAGTCCAGACTTTGCAGAAAAGAATTGAGGAAAATGAGAAAAGTATCAGATCAAGAAACCCTAGATTTGACCTCCGCCGAAAATCGTTCAGACAATACAATTGGAAACTAAGATATACAAGGAAAGAGGATAAGTGATACCCACAGAATTTAAGGTTTAATCAGTGAATCCAGTGAAGATAGTAGACTATTTTAAAAGTACTGACTTTCCAAGAATGGCTAGAAAAGACGAGAAAAGGAAAGAAAATTGAACAACCAGAGTAAAAATTCAAGACCGAAGATTCAAAGATTCAGTCTTTATGAAAAAACCCACATCTAAAAATAGTCAAACAATTAAAATCAAAGTAAAACTAGCCATGGAGTAGAGGAAAACCAAAGAAGCCCAGAGCCTTAAATCCAGATCCCACAAGAAATGGTAAAGAACAGACACCAGAAAAGACACTGCTAGTGAATATTGCAGAAAACTACTAGTACTGCTAATATTGCACCAGCACTGCAGAACTAGACAATTTAAGAAGAAAATACCATCCCCCCTTAAAGCTCAAGGTTGCTTGAACCCCCTGAAAGCAGCTCGAAGGTATCTCGCTCGCTCTCTCTCTCTCCCCCCTTAGCTTTCTCTCTCTTTATTTCTTTCCTGGAAGCCAATTACTAAGAGCAGACCTTTCTCCCAGCAAATGCACATTTGCTACGGCTGTGACTTGTGAATCAAAAAACATACCCCTATTGATTACCTCCCCCCACTGTGCTGCTGTGCACTTATCTCTCTTTGTCATTGACCCTATCTGGCTTTAGACGTGGGCATCCCAAAGTGCATAATGCAATAAAACGCTCGCCTTTCCTCGTTTATTTGTTCGTAAAACTGGGACAATTCACATTGACTTTCAATGCACCACCAAGTGCTCCTCCGTTACAGCCAGACAATATTATAATTTTGTTTTGCTAATTAATCGAAATTTTTAATCAAGTGGCAGCAATAAACAAGTTTTCTGTGCTTGGTGGGACCTAGTACGACCCCTCTTCTCTAACGCACAGTTTGAGCCGAAAGTCAAACGCCAATCAGCTGGCTTTTTTTGCTAAGCTTGTAAAAGCTGTTTTGTGCAGTTTAGCCCCCCAATCTCCAAGGTCCGTCCGACAATACCGCTTGTACTACAATGCTACTCGCTCTTTCCGTTTTGTGCAAATTCCATTGAGAATAAATTTAATAGGAAAATAAGACATAGATAAATTAAATTAAAATACCATAAGCTGTTTGTTATAACGGGGGGATGGGGGAAGTAAATTAAGCCAAGATCATTGAGTTTGGATAAGAATTTATTTGGATGATTTATTTGATCCAGTTACTGTAGCATTTTTTGTGATGTGATGTATATGAGATAAAAAGGTGATTGGGAATTGTGTGTGTGATGTAAGCAAAACAAAATCTGAAATAAATCTTGCAAACTTTCTTTGTCCAAACAAACTCATTTGGATTAAGTTAAAATTTTACAATCTCGAGTTCCTTCTTTTTTTTTTTTTTTTTGTTTCTATATGATGTTACGTGTAACTCATAATTGTGAGATACATACAACACATCACAATTTTGATCAAAATAGATTATAAAGTCTTAGCAACGTCATGTTCCATTAGTTATCTTACCCCATTTTTTTTTAAAAAAAAAAGAAACCCATGTATTAAGCCTTTTTTTTTTAAAAAATTTTGGGTCTCCATTGGGACCATCCAATAAAGCATTTGCCTCAAGTTGACGTCTAGTGATTACCAAAAAAAAAAACAGTTAAAAAGACAAAAAAAAGAAAAGGGGGAAGCAATAATTGATTCAATGCAATAAATGCATGGATTGTTGGATACAGAACACTTGTATGTAAGTAGAAGTAGTATTCATAACTTTCTATGGCCCCTTTTTCTTTCTCATTGCCTTTTTTTTTTTTCCGAAATCATTACCGGTTTACCGATTTATCAAAATCCTTTTATGTGTGCATATGATTATCAAGGGCAGCACTAGCTAGGTAAGGTAGGTGGGGTGATAAGATAATTCATCATGGCTGGGTTTTAGAAGGGGCAGTACTGTATCACTAAAACTTTGCCAATTCCATCTTAGAAATTCAGGATAAACTCCACGTTGCACCGTCGGACTTGATTCGCTCTCTTTTTTTTTTTTTTTTTGCTTTACGCTCTAAATTTTAATTTTAACCGCTTTGCATCATGAAGTTTCATTTTTAAACAATTCACACTCCACACTACCTCAAATTTAAGTTGATACCAAATTTCATTAACTTGAATTTGTAAGAAATGTAAAGTAAACGTTTTAAGAGATCTCATTTGTAGTTAAACAAATTACCTTATTCGGATTCGTTTTCCTTAAAAACATAAAGATTTGATCCAATTTATATTCATCTTTGTCACTAAAAAGCAAGACCTTATCTTTTTTATACATAAAAAAAAAAAAAAAAGACTGCATACGGATCATTTTGTGATTTCAGGCTAAAAAGTGATTAGGTTGATGCCGAAATTTGTTAACTTGTGAATTTGTAAGAGATCTAAAGTTAATATTTTAAAAAAATCAAAGACGAAAAAATTCATTTCAATAAAATATGAGGGAGGTTTTTTGAATGATTTTAAAAGAAATATAACCCCCCAAAAAAACCCTAATTATCCTTTCCTGTTTAAGTTTCGGTTCAGGATAATGACACAAGTTGGTTAGCGAGGAAGTGCAACGCAACAACAATCAGCTCGTACCGTCGATTGGCTCTAACCCTAAGAGTCCCATCACCAAATCCCCATATCAGACATTGGAAGACCGGGTCAATTATCGGAAGGAAAGATATTAATGGAAACACAGTTGAGAATATGACCAAGCCGGTCCCACACAGCCACCAAGCACAATTTTATGATCATTAGTGGCCTTTCTTATTTCCTTTCTTTTTTTTCCTTCAAATTTTTCCTTTTTCGTTGAGGGATCATATTACTAATTTACACTACTAGCAAAGAAAAGTAACCACCTCAATCCTTTGTGGAAACACTCGTTTATTAGTACTTGATTGTATTGAACGCACTAGCCACTCGTCCTCTGAGTTGCAAGCATAAGGATCATTTTTCTACTGCTCTGTTCCTTTGGATTCCTTGCCCTGATATCAGTAGGTGGTGAATTGGTGGTCTATGGCACAAAACCCCAAAAATTGTTGGCAGGAAGAAGTAGGAGAAATGGCTAATTGACTGCAATTGTTTACTTTTGATTGTTAATAGACCTTCTGTTATCGACTTTAATTAAAGGTTGGGAATGCAATCTTTCTACATACCCTCTTTTCCTTTTTGTCCTTTTTTCCCTCCATTGCAACTTCTTGTATTGCCAGGAAAATACTCACTACTAGTGCTTCACTTGATTATCTTAGTTGTTCTTGAATGTCATCCAAATTTATTTAGACTTGGTCACAATTTGAAATCTGTTTTTTTTTTTAATGCAAGTTAAGGGATTCGAGATCGCTTGACTTGCACTTACGCATCTCTCTAATGGCCAATTATTTTAAAGATAAATTTTTTGTGGCCCATTGGCCACATCAATTAGGATATGCATTTATTTTGTAGTAGTAGACTAGCAGTAGTTGAAGCTGTTTATAGTATGAAGACTGCTGATCAGCTATCTCATACTATATATATATATATATATATATATATATATAGTTATATATATCTTCTAAGTAGTGATAATAATTTCTAAAATTCAATTGAATCTGGCATCCACATCGGTTCTGGGGGGATTGAATTTGGGTTTATAAATTTCTGAGAGGATCTCAAAAATTACCGGCTTTTAATTTTTTTTCTGAAATCTAAATTTATAAAAATTAAATTTCTAACTTCCCGTTAGAAAAGGTCAAGAGAATTACTAAAAGTGAAGGACAGTAGGTCAAACTCAACCAACTTTAGTCAGCACCAATTACTAGACCAGGTAGGTATAAACTTTGGACCCAATACCAAAATAATAATAATAATAAATAACAGCCATATTTAATGCTGCGGCCTCAAAACTTTTTCCCATGTTGTCCTTATTATGTGATGGTGAATATACTAATATATATATTTTTTAACCTAAAAAGAAATCATGAATTATCTACGTAAGTTGAGTTCCCGAGTCAACCAACTTGGCCTTTGGCCTTGTTTAAAAAGAGTAGTGAACTGTGAAACTCTAAAAAGTCAAGTTGTTATTTTTCCTTTTTTTAAAAAAAAAAAATTTCACTTGAAGTAAAAAATGAATAAGTTCTTTTCCGGATGCATTAAAATATTTTTTTTTATCGTATGCTAACCACATGTGGTACGACTAAAGTATGAATGATTCTCCTTTGAAGTTGCATTATTGTGTTTCTTTGAAATCAGCATTTCGAATTTGTTGATTATAATTAATAACACCATCATGTGCTATTTTTTTTTTTAATTATTTTACTTGAGAAGGTAGTAGAAAAGATTTAAATCAGAAAATACGTCCAGTTAATTAACTCTGGTTGCGTAGAGGAAAATGATTGAAACGAAGAGATAATTATGCGAAGCTTCAACATCTGCAGACGCTCTACTGAATGAAGAGATGACCATTTTGTTTCCACAAGAAGTTCCACGGCCGTAGCTTCCAATTCCAACACCTCGAATGGAATCTGTCTGCACTGTAGTGGTATTAATTTTGGGTGGAATTTTGCGGGTTTGAAGATGCATGCAAATGCAATCTTTTTCGTGGCAGTAGCATCCTATGACGGTTGGAAAGCAACGGCAACGGACGGCGGGAAGAGCAACAGGGCATTCACCCAGGACGTAAAGATCATGAAAAGGCCAAACCCATCGTTTTTCGTATGGAGAACTGAGAGATGATAAAAGGCTACCCCGTACATGAACTAGATAGCATATAACGTCCGTTCAATGCCGGCCATTATCCATCTGATTTCTTCGTCATTTGTACTGTTTGGCCGGAGATAGATTAATCTCTGCAAGTATGAGCTTGATCAAACATTAAACATCATCATCATGCCGCCATTAATCCCTAATTAATTTGCTCACCACAGTTAACTTTCTCCTAGTTTTGGAGGTACATAATTATCTCGCTTTTTTTTTTTTGTGTTTTTGTTTTGGGGTTCTCTTGAAAAGGTTTAGTTGTATTTCAACATACCCATAGAGGTGGAAGAGCATAATAAAATAAATGATGGAAGAGCTTCCACATCTTAAACAATAACTGTACGTGGTAGTATTTCAGGAAGCCTAGGCTTACACATTAAGTAGATATATGACTCTTCTCGTCTCGTCTCGTCTCGTCTCGTCTCGTCTCGTCTCGAAGAATAAAAATGCAAAAGATCTGAGCTATTTAAATATAAATATTTCTAATTTTTTGTGTAACTTTTATTGGTAACAAAATTGTAGCTTTGCAAGAGAAAAGAGGAACTCAAATGCGCTCAGCCATTTCCAGTTACTCATTTTAATCTGAAATTGATTGATTGCATATCCGTGTTGTTTGTCTGCTGGAATGATATTATTCAAAGTTAATGGGCTTTTACTTTTCCCTTGGGAGGTGAACCCATAATGTCCCTTTTTACTTCTGGGAGAAAAAAAAAAAAAAAAAAAAGGGCTCATCGAAATGCTTTTCTTGATTGAAATACCCCGCCCACAATGTTCGGTCTGCCCCAGGAAATACGCTAACGAAAATAATATGGTTCTTGACAACTCAATAAAAATAATAACGAAACAAATAAATCAAACAAAGAAACACAAAATTTTACGTGAGCCGGTCGCACTGATCTATATTCACGAATGAAAGGATAACAGATTTACTATGTAACAAAAAGAGAG